GTTGTGTCCAGTTAATGATAATTAAAAGATTATAAAGAATAAAGAAAATAACCGGGGTAATTGATATGCATGGTTGTTGACGTGAAATAGAAACAATGAGTTTAGAAAAAGATGTTTTGTAATTTCAAGAAAATGAAAGAGCAATTTTGTGAGTGAATTCACGGAGTCCATGAAAAAATGGATAAAAACACCTGTACGAAAATTCCTGAATTATTTAATGAAGTTAATGGAAACAAATGGAGTTTTTATTTAAGTCCATCCAGACATTGTAAATATGTTATAAAAAATAAAAAATACAATTCAACTTTTTGCGAATGATTTTTTATCAAAAAAATTGATTTTTATTGGTTTTTAAAATAACCCCCAAAACTGTAATACTTAGGCAAAACCAAGTAAAAAAATAATATTATGTAAAAAATGTTTTTGTTTTATTATTGCAAACTGATAAAAAGTAATAATTTGTTGTTAGAACGATTTTAATTAGAGTACCTGATACAACGTTGTTATTTTCTCAAACGTTGTTTATTCAAGAATCTTCTAATTTTCATAGACTCATAAATATAGCATAAACTCAAAAAAATCACGCTACAAGAAACATTTTTTTGTTATTGAGGGATGTTTTTGTTATTGAGGGATGTTTTTGTTATTTGTAATTTCCATTTTAAAACAACTTAAAATTCAAATTCAACTAAATTCGAGATCTTTTGTTTTCCAAATGGAAACAGGTCGTTTCGTCAAAACACCGGCAAAAGAACGATCTGAAGAAGAGAGAGGAGCAGTTTCGAGTACTAACTAGAAAGAGAAAATGGCAGAATCAAAATTGAGTCGGTGTATTTGGGGTCACTGAATGTGGAAAATGGTAACCGAGTTAGCACAGAAGAGAGAGGTGAACAGAGGGGAACGAGTTGACTGTATTAAACTTGTTCTTTGCAATGAGTATGATAAGTAAGAAAAGAAAGGTGAAAATACAAACCAATGTCTGGGTTTAAGTGTTTGAAACCCCTTTTACAGCTCCTTAAAAACCCACCAATATAAAAACAAATAGATTTTTATCATTATTTGATCTCTTGAAATTTAACAGAATAATATGTTGGACTTGTTTATTTTTTGTTTGTTTTCATTTCCGATAAAAAGGAATTATTTGTTTTAATAAAAAAACAAATAATCCCAGAGATGCTCTTTGTTTCTTTATCCCAATTTCTAAAAGTTCTCTCTCGACACCAGAGCAGAAACAATAAAATACAAAGGGGATGTTGTCTCTATGCAGACAGTCACTAACACGCCAAGCCTTGCCCATTATTTATCCACTGCCAAAGGAACTGTTTCTATTCCATGTTTTGATGTAACAATGACACGTTGGTCAAATTTATCGGCCCATTCCTGGAATCCCGATTCATCACAGTTAAAGATAAAAGGCGTCAGGATTCCAGTCGCATTGGATTTCAATATTTCGAAGTACATCCTAATCTATGATTCTTGAACATTGGAACGAGGCGTTTCCATGGTCTTTCCTTGAACAGTCTGAACAAGTTCTTTTTCGACAAAGTTATACAAGTCCCTTACACTGATGTGGACTCTTTATTACTCGCCGACTATAAACACCATCAACTATGTGTAAGTCACAGGTAGTCTCAATTCTTGACCTTCTTTGATGTAATTGACGATGGCATCTTTTTCGTTTACAGAAAAGACACATTTTCGCCCTGAATTGCCCGGCCTTTCTTCGATCCTCTTCATCTGCCTCGACTAGACATAAAAAGGTATGAATGCTGTCACACTTTCCAACAATTTGACATTCTTAATACCACACTTGGCTCGCATGCATTCCATAAATCTAAACATCTGAGTTCCCCAATTTTTCGACTCTTTGTTTCTTTCGAGTTTCTAGAATCTCAGGATGTTGTTTATGATTTCATCAAATTTGTCTTCAAACCCAGCTTCCAAAATATAGCTGTAAAGACCATCGCAGTCAAATTCATCGTCGGTGATTCTGTCAACAATATGCTTGTTGTTGAATTCCACGCCGATTTCCACCATTTCCACCGATGATTCAAAGAAACCGTCTTCAGCGTTTACTTTTCGTTGATAGGGATTAATGTCTTTCCTGGTCAAGTCTTCTATAACTTCTTTATTGTTGGCGACAGCCAAATATTCGACAGGAGATTCTACAGTTCCCATTGGTACCTAGACACGAGGTATTCTGTTGATTATCACTTCTCCTGGAATTGAAATGTTGTCATGTCCCAAAATCGACATAAGCTATTGGACCCCAGCTCTTGGTACAGACGAAGTTCTGATGTATTGTAAGCACTGTACTATATGTTCATTGATGTTCATCACCTTCTTCGTGTTCTTAGTCATCATTTTTAGTTCTTCAAAGATGTTCACATGAGAGTTATATTCAAATTGAAAGGTTCAGATTGATGTCTTGATGTCGGTGATTGAATAGTTGAGCAAGTTGTTGTAATTATAAATGACACAATTAATGTTTGTTCTCAACTTCTTGTGCATGGTGAGAAGATCTTTGTGAAAAACTTTGATATTTTTAACAATATCATTGCCATCTTGCTGGGAACAAAGAGCACCAAAGACATTTACCCGTCTCATATTAAAAACAAATCGTCTCGAAAAGGCATGCGGAGGAAGCATTTTCTTTTTGATGTTTTCTTTTTTGTGTTTTTGGTTGGAAAATGGGTTTTGTTCACCTCTTCCTTTCATTTTTTGAGTTTATTTTTCTTCAAAATTGTGATTATTTTTTCCCAAAAATGGGTTATTTGCGTTATTATTTCTTGCTTTTGTGTAAAAGGACATTTGAAAGGCTGTGAAATTATTTTGTTTATGAAAGAAGAGATTTGTTTACAAAAAAATGGTAAACAATAACAAAATTGCCGATACTCCATTTTTTATTCTAACCTTCTTCAAATAAGACCGAAAAAAAAGGTTTGAGTAAATAACAACATTGTATCAGGTACTCTATTTTGTTATTATTTTATTAAAATAAATATTTTTACTGTTAAATTTCAAAAATAGAATATAATTGATTTAATGTACAATATTTTACTAAAAAAATCATTGAATAAATAAAAAACGGAAATTAAAATTATATAAAGTCGGTTTTTTAATTAACAATGGAAAAATTAACTATATATTTAGTTTTTTAATTATAATAAATAGCTTTTTTTCTTTTTTTTCGAAATAATAATTTTTTTGTTTTATTTTTAAATTTTTTGACTTTTTAACCATACTATTCATTCAAAAAAGGAAAGCAAGAAATGTGGAATTTGTAATTCCTTCTCTTGCCAATTTCCGAGTAATACCAACACAGCCGGCAGACCATTTAATATAGTTAACCAAATAAGTGTCATAGTTATAAGGCGATTAATAGGTCATACCAATTGATTCGAAAAGCAAAGAAAAAGATTGACAACCAGCGTTTCTTTGAGAATGTCAAATGGTAAAAATTAATAAGAAAATTACTATGTATTTATGGTTTTTAATTAGTAATGAACGATACTAAATATTATAATATAAAAAAACTGATATAGTAAATTTCCTTGTTGTATTTTTGGAATATCGTTAATTAGAAATCAGACTTTACTTGAGGTTTAGTTAACACTGCTACACAAGGGGGAGTGAGGGGCTTGACGATACTGAGGTACTTGATTTATTATTTAATAGTTTTCTTTTATTAACTTTTTTAAGTACAAATTTTTATGAAATTTGTAATGTTTAAAAATAAGTAAACAAATTTTTTAGTTTGAATTTTGTTGAGTCCCTTCAACCACTATATTAATTTTTGCAAATCTGTTTTTAT